CAGGATTTCCCTATATACATCACATTGGTTTTGAAGTCATAATCCTGCCACTAGAATGCCAAGATTATGGGCAACATGATGCCCTAGCTAAGCTTTATTTTTCTGTTTTTACAGAGCAAATGAAAATTTGTCTCTTCACACTGTTTGTAAATGCCCCCCCCACATACCTTTTTAAAAGATAGGATCTCATATAGCCTAGACTGGTCTTGAACCCCCAATCCTCCTGCCTCTACCTCCCAAGTGCTAGATCACGAGATGTTCCACCACACCCAGCCTGTTCTCTTCCTTTTCACAAAAGCACCTTCTCCTCTTTCTATTTCCTTGTTCTATTTTGGAGCATTTCTACCTGCCAAATTCAAAACACTAGCTTGCTCTCATGAGAGTGTGTCAAAGCTTACTTCATAGGATTGAAAGCTGGTAGAGTAGCCTAGTGCTCTCAGGAAGCAGCGTGCATGTGCTTTCCTTGGTGAGAGAGATGCCTGTGGGGATCCAGCCTTGGCTACCGTCAGCTGGTGGCATAGCCTAGCACCCTTAGGAAGCAGTGTACATGTGCTTTCTTTGTTAGAGAGACTCTTGTGAGGATCCAGCCTCGGCTCCTGTTGTTCCCTTTGAGGCTGTCCCTGGGTAGGGGCAGGCAGCAGAAATTGGCAGCTATGAAACAAGAAGGCTATCACAACCCCCCCACCCCCCGCTGCCCACCCAAGCCCTCAGCCTTGGTATCTCCACACTGCAGCCAACCGAGCTAACTAGGTACATTTGTGAGAAGAAAGATTGTGCTTTGTGGAGAATTATGCCAGAATTTCTGCTTCAAGCCCCAGCAACAGATTCTTTGGGGTGTCTTAGTGAAAGACCATTTGAGAAATGGACTGTACATGCAGCAAATAGGATTTTGGTTAAATGGTAACATTTGTTTCCAAAAGTGTAGTGTATTGGAGGGGAAGCTAAGCTCTTCAGAGCATGTGTTCATTAAAGATGTGAAGTGGGGTGGGAAGCAAAAAAAAAAAGGCCAGTGAGTTCTCTTGTGAGATAGTTTTTTGTCCTTATGAATTGAATACTCTCTGAAAAGTTTCAAAAAGAGACTAGGAAGAATGTATTTGCTTTGATCTAACATGTAGAGTGTTCCCATCCACAAATGCCCTTTAATTTAGAAATATTGTTGAAAATTTGTTTGAAAGTACATAAAATATATGTAAATAAGCCCTAATTAGTTATTTCAATTAATTATTTTTAGGTACTTTGCAGCTTTATTTTTTCTGCCTAATGTTGCTTCTCAGAGTCCACTTTTGGCACCCTTGAGAAAAATGTTTTTAACAGTCATTTTTTTTTAAGAAACACATTTCCCCCTTTGAAAATCTCACAGTGATAAATATCCCAGATTGTGCATCTTTATGGAGAATTGTTTCAGACACTTTTAGTCCATGTCTTACACTATAATAATAAACAGAATTTTGCTGTTAATCAAAACAGCAGGGGTTTCCTTCTAGAAACAGATGATATATGCTGTTTTGTAGAAAATGAGTCCATGTCTGGCCACTAGCCTTTAATCTTCCCGACTACCTGTGCTCTTTCAAAGACAAGTTCATGGATTCAGGGGTGAAAGTTCTAGTTCTTTCTAAGTTGAATAGGATGCTTCCCAATAGCAGTGAGTTTGCAACTCGATGGTAGAACGCTTTCCAGGCATGTACAAGTCCTTGGTTCTATTACTAGTGTCAGAGAGAATAGAAAAAAGAATACTCTGGAAAAACATTGCAGGAATAAAGTCAGGTTGCTGAGGACAAGCCTCAGCTTTTATCTGTCACAGTCCCTTGGTAAGGAATAGGGGAGAATGCTCATGAGAAATTTTACTTTCTGGTTCTTACCTCAGTTTCACAGGATCAGAATCATCTTGGGGAGGGGTCCACATTTTCCACAGACTTCTCTACAAAATTCTGATGCACACTAAATTTGTCCATCCACCAATCTCGGCTATATAGTTTATTTTATGATAAAAAAAAAAAAGCAGGCCTTGAGTGTTGGATGGGTCAGGTACACAGTGTGCATGGGTCAAGAGTAGGCTCAGGCTTCCTGAACCTGCACTAGCACGTCTGTGTACCTCACATCTTCAGAGTAGTCCCATGCACACAGATAGGTTCAAAACTGCTTCTGAGTCATCAGGGTGATTTCAGAACTGAATAGATAGTGTGGTTCTACATAAAGCAGAAAAGATGCCCAAGCACCAGAGGTAGGAGTCTCTAAGCTGTTACAAAGTCTAAATTAAAACCCAAATGAGCCCTCACCATGTCTTCTTATCCTTCTCATCTTTTACAAGCCCAGAAACCTATAGAAAGTTCTGAGAATGTTTATCATTCTATTTATATCTCAATAGCATATGTAGTTGACTCCTAGCTTTGGTCCTATGTGCTCAGTTGATATAAACATTTTTGGACTATGTGCTTTCTTAAAATGCATATTTATATTTTTAAAACCATAGAACATTATAATAAAGTCATTAAAATAAAGACTGATAAAAGCCTAATAGTATCTATTAATATCCATAAAATGCTTACTGGTGTTTATTATACCCCAAATTCAAACAATCAAAAAGCTAAACTGACTTAATTAATTTTTTTCAGTATTCTGTGGTAAGAATTTGAACTATAAGGATGATCCTGAATTTCTGCAAGATCATGATCATTTTCTAAGTCATTAGGAAAGACTGAATTCTATCCCATGTCATTTCAGTATTACCTTGATTTGACTGTCTACTAATTTGGGAGACTAGCAATATTCCAGGATCTTGGCTGTGTCAGGTTCTGCTGAAATTTGTCCCCTGCTCACATAGAAATACATGTTTAATGTGCAGGTTTAAAATGGGTAATATAGTGAAAGTAGACTATTTCAAGAGGCAGGTGACTAGGTTCCAAGGATTAAATTTGGAATAACTATGGGATATTACACTGTGTACATGTGCCGAATAGTACTCGGTTTTATCATCTCTTCAACACAAGCATTTATTGGTTGTCTACTATGTGTAAAGCTCTGCGTTAAGTGCTAAGGATAAAAAGTGTATCTGGGAAGTTTATGGTTCAGCTGACTGGAGAAGCCCATAAAAAGGTACAGCAGTTTAAAGAGGCACATGCTAAATGCCAAGTGAGTCACATAGTCTGTGAGTGCAGCAAACAGCATTCCAGCATCCACTGCCCAGGGTTGTGACAGCGTCTCCTCCACCACACAGAAGCCTCCATGATTCTTCCTTATCTTCTGTGCATTGTGAATCACTCCTCAACTAGCTTTTAGGGATTTTGTTGATACTCATTAGTAAAGCAAGAATAATTATTTTTAAAGCCCTAGTAAGATTAAGTTATCGAAGCATACTACTAACATATATTTGCTGTCTTTCAATCCCCTTTGTATTAAAAATGGAAGGATTTAATTCTCTTTGTAGAGGATGAATTGTGGAACTGCTTGATTATTAATGCCATTTTGTTTGTGATGGAAGCTCTGTTGGGTTTTGTGATATTTTCATGGAGGTTATGTGAATCAGTATCTTCCTATGTGAGCAGTTTGTTAAATAAATGTTTGAGTTCCTTGTAATAGAAATGGGGTATAACACCAGTCACCACATTATTTATCATCATTATCATCATCGTAACTCAGTTTTGCACTTACCTCGTGAACTAGTGTCAGATCTCTTTGATCCATGTATTTCTGGCATTCAACCATGAGAAATACATGAAAGGATTTAAGTGAAAGCTGTGGATAAGACATGTCAGAATTGTTACATTGCATATTTCTTCATCACCCTTTCTGGGGCTGCCAGGATGGGATGACTCTGACGGTTTTCCATACTTAGCAGGGGGAAGATAGTACCTCTATCTAAAGGGATGTAACAGTTTCTTTGTGGCCAGGTCATGATATTTTCAGGTCCCCTCAACAGTCACTGGACAGTGCTCACAGAATCACAAACCTCCTAGGTAGGAAAAGGGCATGAACAGTTGCCCGCCAACAGCCAGTGGTCTTGAATAATGGACAAGATTTGCTGAAGTAGCAAGCAGAGAAGGCGTTGGGTAGAAACTGTATGTGTGCTGTGTGGAGGGTGGAGTGGGTGTACTGTGTTTACCTGGAGATAATGTGGAGAGTTCTTGGACTGGAATATATTAGATCCTCAAGAGTTGGAGAAGGGAAGAAAACTGGGAAGGTGGCGGTGGGGGGGGTGGCTAGCCAAAGTTCAGATGCTTTACAGTAGTGTTTGGTTTGGTTTAGGTTTGGGTTTTTTTGCTTGTTTGTTTTTTATTTATTTTTATGTGTATGAGTGTATTGCCTGCATGTAAAAAGGTGCACCTGTGTCATGCAATGCCTTGAAGGGCAGAAGAGAGCACCAAAACCCCTGGAAATAGAGTTACAGATGGTTGTTAGCTATCACATGGGTGCTGGGAACTGAACCCAGATCCTCTACAAGAGCAGCCAGTGTTCTTAATTGCTGAGCTATCTCTCTAGCCCTTGATTTTGGATTTTAGACACAGGGTCTCACTAAGTTGCCCAGATTGACTTGAAACTCTGAAACTTGCCATGTAGCCCAGACTGGCCTTGAACTCAAGACCTTCCTGCCTCAAGTGCTGGTATCCAGGTGTGTACCACCTTGCCCGGCTTCTTTGTTTTTTGACCAGTGGAATAGTGTGTCTTCTTTCAGAAGTGTATAAGTCAAACAAACCTGTATTAGAAGCTCGTAGAAAAGTGTCTAATGTAGATAGATTCTGAGCAGGAAAGTGAAGAAATAAAGGTGGAGTTATAGAGAAACTGATGCTATATGCAGAAGAAATGGAATCAGAGGAGACCAGAGACAAGGGTCTAGTTAGGAGACACTTATGTTAGTCCCCCAGGAAGTGAGGGGGTGGGGAATCCATCTGTCTGTGTATTCTCTGCAGCTTTTTTCCTCTATAGACTTCTATTTAACTTGAGGGCTGTATAGCCTTGTTCTATGATGTTCAAAGTAATCATAGTCTATCTTTTGCCTTGAACAGGATGCCAGCGATCTATCGGTCTTTCCAACGGCAAGGCCAAGGTGTGCAATTACAGTGGGTGGTACTACTGCAGCATCTGCCACGTGGACGACAGCTTTCTCATTCCAGCACGTATAGTCCACAACTGGGACACTTCAAAATACAAGGTAGGTGCCAACCTTGCGTCCACTTAATGGCAGCAATTCAGGTGTTCGTATGTTGTCAGGTGGGTTATAAAGATAGCTGTAAAACAATTGAAGCAAACTTGATTAGATAGTCTCATAAAAGACAGGGTCTCACTTTGGAGTTCAAACTAGCTTCAAACTCATAACCCTCCTACCTCCACCTCCCAAGCGGTGGGGTGACTGGCATATATCACCATGCCCAGCTGTACTACCAGATTTTATCTGATTTTTTTTACATATCTTACTGTTTAAAGTCTTCTTGATTACAATTCTTATTAATTTTTCTAGTTAAAAATATATGTACATCTTTTTAAAGTTTTCAGATATGTTTTATTTATTTTTATTTTATGTGTATAAGTGTTTTGCCTGCATATATGCAAGTGCACTTGTTTCATGCAATGCCCTCAGAGGCCATAAGAGGGTGTCAGATCCCCTGGGACTAGAGTTATGGGTGGTTGTTAGCCACCATGTGGGTGCTGGCAACTCAATCTGAGTCCTCTGGAAGAGCAATCAGTACTCTTAACTGCTGAAACTTCTTTCCAGCCCCCTATGTATATATCTTTTAACATACTTCTAGGCCTTTTTAATTAATTATAGGTGCTAAGAGAATTCTATATAGTGGGAGGCATCTCTTATGATTTTTAAAAATTTTTATTTATTTTTCTTTTTCATATATGAGTGTTTTGCCTGCTACTATGTAAGTGTACCCATGTCATGTGATGCACACTGTCATGTGAGACCTGAAGGTGTTGGATCCCTTTGAACTGGAGTTAGAGCTGGTGTTCAGCTACTCTGTGGGTGCTGAGAACCAAACTCAGGACCTCTGTAAAAGCAGTCAGTGCTCTTAACTGCTGGGCCATCTTTCCAGCCCCATCACTTATGATTTTTATTAGATCTTATCTCCAATGTGACAATGGGGGAATCATGAATGTATGAGCATGCCTGTGATCTTTGGAGAAGGCATATGTGACCCTTCTTCAGTACCAGCCCCTGAAACTGGGCCCCTAGGAGGCAACATGAGAACTTCTGGGTAGCAGCCCACAAAAGGAATAGTGCTCTGAGTCATCCTCAGGCCTCATGAGGACTCTTATTAAAGAAGGGGGGCTAATAAGAAATGTTGGAATATACAACTACTTTGTAAACAAGTGCTACCAGCCAAGGAAAATATCTAAGGAGTGCAAATAGATTTGTTAGCTGTAAAAATTCAAGTCAACAGAGAAGAAGAGGAAGGTTCAAGACATGCTGGGTCACCCCAACTTAAGAGAGTAGAGGTAAGAGGAGGAGCATCAAGGATGCAGAGGCCTGGAAGGAGTGAGCAGTGAGATAGAAGGAGCCCAGGCTGCCTGACAAGCCACGTGAAGAAAGTGCTTCCAGATGAACTCTGACAGATGCTGATAGGTCAAAGAAGATGAAGATGAGCCCTGAGAACTGGCCATTGGCTTTAGTCATGTGGAGGTAATTAGTGACCCTAATGAGAGCAGTCTGAATGGAGAGACGGGAGCAGAGGTCTGACTGGAGTGGGCTCAACACAGAATAGGAGGATAGAAAGTACAAGAATAGAAGTTTGCTCTAAAGAGGAGGCAGGTGGGGGAGTAACTCAAAGGAAAGTGGGGTCAAGTTAGGTTTGACTTTTGTTTTAATAGAAAAAATAACAACATTTTTTTATGCTGATGTAAACTCCCCAGGAGAGACAGGAGAAATGCTGGAATAATGAAATTGAGTCAGCAAGGAAAAGAAATCTCTGAATAGAAGTGTTGTAGAGAGTATCAGAAGCTCTCTTATGTTTGCACCAGTCATTTTGATCAATTCTTTTGTCTTGGTATCTGTGCTCTTTAAGGATTGAGTAACTATCCCAGTTACTCCGAATTCCCTTCACCTTACAGAAATAAGATGATTAGGGAATCATCAACTGTCATTATACCCACGCCACCCTCATTGTCCTCTCCCAGAGGAAGCACCACTGCTAATGGGCTTGCTCCTTCTGTCTCTGTTCACTGTCTTAGCTCCTCTGTTCTCCATCATGGTTTTGGCATATCTAGTAGACCTATGGCAGTTTTCTCTACTGGAATTTTCTGGGATATAGGATTTGACCAGGTGGACAATACTCTCTTGAATTCTCCTGCCTTGGTCTTGATAGCACACCTCCACATGCCTGCTTCTTTCCCAGTCATCTTCTCTGATTCCTTGTTCTCTGCTTGCACCGCTCTGATGGTAGAGCTCCTAAAGCTTCATTCTTTTATTTCCTTTTCCTACCTGATCCTTTCCTCTACTGGGTCCTCCCCCCCCACACACACACACAAACACACACTTCTGTAGTTTTAACTACTGGGATTCGTATTTTGATGATTCCGCCTTTTTTTAAGGTTTAGTTTTTGTTATTTTTAACTGTGTGTATATGTTTATGTCTGTGTATGAGTATGTACATGTGAGTGCAGGTACCTGTGGAATCCAGAAGAGAATATTAGATCCCCTGGATCTGGAGTTACAGACAGTTGTGAGCCACCCAGTGTGAGTGCTGGGAACTAAACTCTGGCCCTCTACAAGAGCAGCTCTTAACACCTGAACCATCTCCAGCTCTAATTTGCTACTGAAATCAAAATCTGTGCCTTTAATTGCCTAATAGACATCACACCTTTAGTTTTCAATCTAACAGTCTTCAGGATATGTGGATTGGTTAGATCTGTTGTACAGTATTTCCACAAGATAGTAGAATTAATTGAATTCAGGAATACCCACTGGAGTGGTCCTCTAGGCTTAGGATTCTGTCACAGTCTATGTTTCGTTTGCCCACATGGCCAATAACATAATTCCATTTCCTGAGAAGAGGAAGCTTCTCTGAACCGTCACCAGATCATGTTCTCTGCCTTGAGTGATGCATCCCTGGTCAGGTGCTTTATACAGAAACAGGTGCTGTGACTGTTGTTATATTTCTTTACTAATAGATGCCCAACACTTACTTTTGTTGTAATGATGTCTCCTGAGAGCAAGCAGATGGGAAAGAACCTATAGTTTCATCTACCTGGAATCTTAGATGTCTAAAATGAATATGAAAAATTCAAATGGCCACTTGGCTTATGCCCTAACCTCCCTCCCTTTCTCTCTTCCTTTTAAAAAAAAATTCGTACAGAGTTTTATCATGTAGTTCAGATTAGTCTGAAACTCACAATCCTCCTACCTCAGCTTCTAACATGCTAGGATTCCACGCATGCACTACCACACCTGCCTAGCTGATGGCCTCTTCCTATACCCTGGCCAGTTCCAACTCTTGTTCTACCTAGTAACCATTTACATCTTTACTGTCTTGAGAATGCTTTATCTCAGTCCTTCTTGGCATCAGACTTTGCCTCCTACTGCAAAGAGAAAATTGAGATTTTGATATGAATATCTACAAATCTATGTTTGTACATGTCCTTACTGCTTTTCCTTCTAACAGAAAGCAGGAAAGAAAGGAACGAAGGAAAGGAAGGAGGAAGGCCACTTTTTTCCGTTTAGTGCTCATCCTTCTACATGTGCTCCAGATGTTTTTTATCCATCTGGGAAATCCCTGATCATTCTTCCCAAACTAATAACAGTATCCTCTGGTGGCACCTGCTCTGTTGTTCCCTAGCCCTCCCCATATGCTGTATTCCTGGCCCTCTTTCTGTGCTACCATTGTGTCATGCATGGAGTTTAAGAATTGTACTTATCTAGAGAGATGGCTCAGCAGTTAAGAGCACTGGCTGTTCTTCCAGAGGACCCAGGTTCGGTTCCCAGTACCCACATGGCAACTAACAACCATCTGTGACTCCAGTTCCAGGGGATCTGACACCCTCTTCTGGCTTCCACAGGCTTTTGCATGACACAGGTGCACTTACATACATGAAGGCAAAACATTCATATACATAAAATAAAAATTAAAAGAAAAAAAGGATTGTACTTAGCTAAGGCTTAATGGCAGGAACTTGGTATTAATTAGGCATCTGTCCAAAATGTACCTTGGATTCTTACTGGGAACTTGGTTAGTGGGAGACAAATTCCATGACCTTTCCTTTGTTTCCTAATCTATCAAATGAGCCCAGCCTGCTCCAGTTCAAGTCTTGACCTTGTCACTTACGGACTGTGTGATCTGGGTGAGTTTTTAAGACTCTTTTTGTTTTAGTTTCCTCATTTGCAAAATACCTCAAGGGGTTACCGCTGATACCACTTTACCGTGTGAAGCATCAAGAACAGTGCCCAGCACACAGGGCATGCCAAGTGAACATTGTGTTTCTGGTAATGCATGCATTTACAGTTAAGAGAGTTGTGTAAAGTGGGTTATTATTTAAAGTGATGTGATCAGCACTTACTGAATGGAAGATGCTCATCACTATCACATTTCTATCATTGCTGGTTGTGTGTTTGTTGTCTCTGTAAAGGTGGGCTCAGAGAATGTGGCTCAGGCATGTTGCGTAGTTCCTGGGATTCAGTAGGTAAACAGGAATGTGTGCTGAATGACTGGCTGTGAAGCTTGTCTCCTGGGTACCTCAAACTCAACACATCCCACATGGGCCTCATCACACTCACCAAATGCACACTGCCTGCAGGCACAAATGTAGACAGATTTTTAGACATTCACATTCGTGTGAATGGCCTCATAGCCACCACTGCAGACCTCTGCCCCATGCAGTCAGCAAAAACCCACTCTGAAATTCAACTCTTGAGGTTGTGCTCTAGGTTCCACTATAACTGTGGCCTTAGTCGTGTTCACTGAAAAGTCAGGTAGCCTTCTTCCCGCTGCTTCCTGTCCTCACAGCTCACCCAGCCTACTCCTAATCTTACCTCAGATGAACATCTTACCCAGTCCTGGTCTTATTTTTTTATCTTAAAATAGAGATAATAATAGTACCTGTGCCATAAAGTTACCATTTGCTTAAATGAATGAGTTGCATAAGCATCTAGCACAGTGTCCGGTGAACCGTAAGTACTCAGAGTCAAACTTCACCATAATTGCCTGCAGAATAAAT